TTGGCAATCAGACTCTATCCTTAACTATTAGCTTTTGTTTTTTCTTTCTATTCGTATCCCACATTCTGATTTGTAGTCACATTGAACCTCCTCCGCTCTTACACGTTGCCGCTCTTACACGTTGCCGCTCTTTCTCATCTCTTGCATGGCTGAAGTTACTCCTTGCACAAATAAACCAGTCGATGGTCTTTCTAGAAGCCTTTTATTTGAACAGGGTGGCGGCGTTACTTATAAGTAAGTTTTACATTTAAGCATTAATGCAGTATTAAATTTATTAGTAGTAGCATATTAAATGTTTAAACAAATATATGCTTATCATCTGTACATTCATCAAAATCTTCAAACATATACATCCCATTAAATCTCTCTGCAGAATTGCGTTTTTCTATTATTAGATATAAATATGACATTTTCACAAAACATTATATTATATATCCATAATTTCCTATTTATTTTTAGTGACTTTATTATACTACCTGGTTACGTCTCTTTCAATAATTCTGAAGTCGATCTATCCACATTCTTAACCCGGAACATAGCATTAAAGTTACCCTTTGTTTCGTCTCCTATGGATACGGTTACTGAAGCTAATATGGCTATCGCCATGGGTGTAAGCTACAATTTTCTTATTTATACATAGTTGTGCGGTGGAATAGGTATTATTCATCACAATTGCTCAATCGATTATCAATTAGATCAAGTTCGAAAAGTTAAGGTAAATAACTTTGGCTTTCAAGGGTCATTCCCTCTCCATAACTTTACTTCCTTGACTTGACCTAGCTTACTACTCTTTTTTTTCTGTTTATTCGAAGAAATATGAGCAAGGTTTTATTATGGATCCAGTTGTTATGCCGCCTCATTCCACCGTTGCTGATGTGCTTTCCGTTAAATCAAAGCTGGGATTTAGTGGAATTCCTATTACGGAGAACGGGAAAATTGGTGGTCGATTAGTTGGACTCGTAACATTACGTGATATTGATTTTGTTGGAAAGACTGATTTGAACATTCCAGTTTCTGCGGTAAGTTATACATTTTTATATTAAATTCTTGAATTCTAACCATAATTACAGGTGATGACACCATTTGAGAATCTCATTACTGCAACTCATGGGATTGGTCTTACTGAAGCTAATACTATCTTGCAAAAAAGCAAGAAAGGTATTTCTCTTTTCTTAGGATTATATTACTTAGTTAAAAATAGTGCGTATTTAAATATATTCAGAAAATATTCTTATTTTATATTTTTATGACTTTTAGTCCATTTCAAGGTTTTATTAATGATTTAACATCATACTTGAAGTTGTTCATTTTTTGCCGAACTTGTACTCGGACTCTTAGTATTGCACTTAAAGTTATTTATATAGGACATCTGTTTAATATCTGCCATTTCAGTATTTAAATTATTAAGAGAACTAAGGTAATTATGGACGGATAATAATATATAGAATATCCAAAATAGGTTTTTCAATTTTCGCTTTTTGTCACTATCGGACTCTTATACTCTCCTTTTGAATTTTTCCTGTGTAGGAAAATTGCCAATTATCAACGAAAACCGTGAGCTAGTAGCCCTAATGGC